ACCCTACTAGAAAACCCAGTCCACTTTCCACCTCCTCCAGGAAGCCCACCTTGACCATACATACTCAGGAGGACAATTGCTCTGAGCTTCTGAACCACTTACTCTGACCCTTGACTACAAACCTCTGAGATAGCCTTTTGCTGCTTCGACCAGACTGGGAACTGCCCATGTTCTGCCTTCTCGGCCTCCATCCATGTGTGGCTGTGCTCAGGGACGGAGGCCGAGACTGGGTGGTTGACTTGTTCTTTTCATACATCTACATCCAACTGGGCCAGCTCCCTGTGTGCCCCTTCCCCCTTCCAGTTTCTTCATCAGGAAGCCTCAAGACAGGAAACCCGAGGGAATGTAGTGAATTCTCGGGGGCCTAGTCCCCAGGTCAGGACTCCCAGCAGGAAGTTGATATATCCCTGATCCAGCCCACAGAGCAGACCTGCCTCAGAGCAGAGCAGAAGGTGCACTGGGAGGATGATATATCTATGCTAAACAGAAAGATGAAGTTGCACCTGTGTCTGGTGGGGGTCTCGAGCACAGGGTCAAGGGTGTGACCTCTGAGTCAGTTCCCTCTGATCCCACTTAGGCAAATGCCCATCCCAGAGAGAAGAAAGTCTGTCTTCTGGACACCTGGCCAGGGCATATAGAGGATGGAGAATTCAAAAAAAGCAACCCTGTATAGCAAGACAACCCTTCCATCCCAACAACAATTAAGATGAACATGACCTCAAATCAGATTCCAAAGGCCAAGTGTCTCCCCCTCTGTTGGCTAACAGTGGTTTCATTCAATATTCCGTTGTTCAGGGTTTATGGAGAACCGACCACACATGAGAAGCCATGCTCACCACATTCGTTTTCTCATGTAGTCTTTACGATAACTTAGGAGATACATATCATTAAACCCATCTTACACACGAGGAAGATTGAGGCATACACAGGCAGTAAATGACAGACATATTTCATTCTAGAACTTTTGTTTTCCAGTTTCATGCTCTATCAGTTATAGCAGGGGATCCCAGACTTTTGGAATACACAGACCAATAACATTTCAAAAATGACTTTTGGGAACAAACACAGGACCCTATGTCAACTTTTTATTTAGCCAAGGACATAAAAAATACCCTCTCCCAGCAGTATGATTTCATAAAAGGACATTTTAACACAGAAAATGCGACAAGGATATAATGGTAGAATAAAGACAGCCTTCTAAGAAAGGACAGTTGGCAATCTTACCCTAAAATATTCTACATTGTTCTCTCTTTTTTGGTTAAATTTCAAGCAGAACTGGCCAAAACCTTGGCATTACACTGTGTGGGAGCCACTGCCCTATCCCAGAGCTGCCTCTTTAAGCAAGAAAAATGCCCTCAGACCATGAGCAAATAAACTTCCAGAATTTCCCATCCCCATCTGCCCATCCAGGTTGCCACCAAGTAAGATCTGAGGATGATATACAATAATCAGCTACATCCCCACCCCACCCCCAGCAGGTCGTCTGAATCTCACTGACATTCAGCGTCCCTGAATGGGAAAGCCCATCTTTCCCAGCCCCTTCTCTCTTAGACCCAGCTCTTTTCTGGGTTTGCATTCCAGGAATAACCAGGCCCCCTGCAGCCCAGCAGGAAGCACATCTGTCTCCCAGAGGTACTCAGTTCCCCATTGCAGCTGATAGCCACAGATCTTCTCCCTATCTCAGTCTAAAGGGAGGGCCTTTCCCTTGCTAGGGCCCCCAGGTCCTGTGTATTGTGTTACAAGACCAACCACAGCAGACCTCAGGCTTTCTAGGCAGTGCTGGAAAGGAGAGGGTGTGAGACCTGAGTGGAACAATGGGGAGAGCATGGAATGGGGGCGCTCCGTTCTTTACTTCCTCTCTGCTTTAGCCATGCCAGACTCAGAACTGCCTCTCCCTCTGGTATGTGGGCCTGTTCCCACTTCATCTGTGTGAGTCAGAGAAGAGCCTGACCTGTGGAGCTCTTGGATGGAGCTCCAGCTCCACCATTTTCTTGCTGTGGGACATTTAGCAAGACACTTAACCTCTCTGTGCTTTAGTTCTCCTGCTTGCAAACGGGAGTAAGAATGTTAGGTTTAGGGACTTCCCTGGTGGTGCAGTGGTTAAGAATCCTCCTGCCAATGCAGGTGACACAGGTTCGAGCCCTGGTCTGGGAATATCCCACATGCCGCGGAGCAACTAAGCCTGTGTGCCACAACTACTGAGCTCGTGCTCTAGAGCCCGTGAGCCACAACTACTGAAGCCCACGCACCTAGAGCCCGTGCTCCGCAACAAGAGAAGCCACCGCAATGAGAAGCCCGCACACCTCAACAAAGAGCAGCCCCCGCTTGCCACAACTAGAGAAAGACCATGTGCAGCAACCAAGACCCAACGCAGCCAAAAATAAATAAAAAAATAAATTTATATTAAAAAAAAAGAATGTGGGCTTCCCTGGTGGTGCAGTGGTTGAGAGTCCGCCTGCCGATGCAGAGGACACAGGTTCGTGCCCCGGTCCGGGTGGATCCCCCATGCCGCGGAGCGGCTGGGCCCGTGAGCCGTGGCCACTGAGCCTGCGCGTCCAGAGCCTGTGCTCCACAACGGGAGAGACCACAACAGTGAGAGGCCCGTGTACCGCAAAAAAAAAAAGTAAAAATAATAAAAAAAAGAATGTTAGGTTGAGCTATGTGAAACTGGAAAATTTTGACCATATTTGGTCCACGAAAATTTCACGTGGTTTAACAAATGAAGTGTGAACTGTAAAGTGCTGGATACATGTCTCTCATCAAATCTGACCCCTCCTCCAGGAAGTCCTCCCACAAGCCTCAGTGAGTTCCCCCTCCTCAAATCTCACTGGTTGAGACATGATTTAGTACACACTTCTTTTCTGTCTTGAGTTTTCTCCTCTTGAGTTTTCTCCTCTTTCCTGAACATGAGTGTAGATTCCCCACAACTTGGATCACATCAAGGGCAAGATCTGGGTCTCCCCTTCCTCTTTCCCCCAGATTGCTAGCATGCCACAGCTATCCTCCATTATGGTTTTCACCGAGAGGAGACAGGAGAGACCAGGCCTCACGAGGGGTTCCCATGTGCCAGCTTTATCAAACGGTCATTTCTTCACCCAAGGGTGGTCCTAGAGGGTCCTGCATGGCTGGTGTTAATTAAATTGAGAGGAAGGAGGTGCTAGAGGGGGCGGAATTAAGGGACCCTGACCCCTGGCCAGCCTGTGGTACCAGTGTCCCAGGAAGCTGAACCCTGGTTGTATCCACCTTCTACTTCAAGGAGCCCCTTCAGTGGCATTAACTAACTCCCGGGGTCCCTCATTCGTGTGTTGAGTTGACATTTATGGATTTTCTCTCTGTCCCCCCTGAGTTGGTGTGGAGGTCCCTGAGATGAATCAGACTTATCCTCCCCTCAGGGAGCTCAGTCCTGAAGGGGACACAGACTGCACTGTGCAATCAGTGCTCAGGTTGATGGGAGATCCTGGGCCATGGGACCCCAAAGGGGGGACATGGCCAAGATTTGGGTGGCCAGGAAGAGGTTTCTAGAGGAGGAGATGTCCCTACCATGGGTCATTGGGAAGCTTGCCTGAGTTGACTTCCTGACGCTGGGGTAGGGCAGCCTAGCTCTGGCTGACACAGAAGCCCAAAGAAGTGAGTTAAATGGAGGTCTTCCTCCTGTGGCTGGCACACCAGGGCAGGCAGGGCTCACCGCTGGTTAAGAACACTCTTTCTCAAGGAAACCCAAGGACATTCAGGGATTAGGCCTCCCAGCATCTGTGCAGAGAACTGTCAGCTCAGAGCTGCTCAAAAGTAGAAAGGCCAGCAAGCAGTGATGTCATCACCCTAGTCATTCCCTCTCCGCATGGGAGGTCCTGTGGTCCAGTGGGTAGAGAGCAGAAAAGCTCCTGCCAGGCTGCCCCCAACCCCCAGTCTTGCTTCCAAAATTTCTGCTCTGAATGGGGTGGGAGAGATGGTCACAAGTGGGCTGAGAATAAAAAATTCTTTGAAGAAAAACTTCATGCTATTCCTCAGAAACATGGCAGGGCTAGGGGACCTTTTTGCCTCCCTCCAGTCAGACTTTGCTGAAAATCCACCTCAACATTAACCCAGACTCCAACCTTCCCCAGCCAACCCCTCTCCTCTAATGACCCATCCCCACTTCTGAGCTAATCTGGCATGTTGGCCCTGACGGGATCTGAGTAACCCCTGCTTCATCTTGGCAGCCCCCAGGCCTGGGAGAGGGGGTCTGGCAGCCCAGCCTGTGTGGATGGGGGTTGGGCGGTCAGGCTGTCCTAGAGCGCTGGAGAGGGGCAGTGCTGGTGGGATTTGTCCATAAACCCGAGACTGCACACAGAGAGGACCACAGCCGGAATCGCTGTTTGGCCTGGGGGGTGGGGGTGAGGAGCGGACTCAAAGGGAGTGGGAGCTGTGCAGCTGCTTGGGGGTAGGGGGCCTGGGTGGAGCAGGAACTCCCCTAGCGTTGGGTGTCACAATTTGGAATGAGAACCCAGGGAGAAGGGGGTCCACAGCTAGCCCCAGAGTGCCAGGTCGCCCGGAAGAGCCCGCCTGCTGGCTCCTGCTGCAGCCGGCTAGTCTCCGAAACCCGCATCGGAACCACCCCGGGAGAGGTGCGTGCGGGATCGGACCCCGCATCCGTGGCTGCTGCAGGCTCATTTCCTCGAAGTCTTACCTCGAACGGCTTGGGTCTCACCCGCGTGCCCTGTGCCTCCCGGAGTTCCCCAAGCCCTCCTGGCCGGGTCGCTGCGAGGCTCCGCAGGGGAAAGACCAGCGGGGGATTTGCCCCCTCCTGTGTCACAGGAAAACCCCAGGAGCAGCCCCGACGCAGTGCCTTTCCCGGAAACCCCCCTCTCCAGGCGCGTTGCGGGAAGGCCCGGGGCTCCGCATGCAGACGACCCGCCTCCCCGGAGGAGGGTCGGAGACCCAGCTGAAAAGCATAACCGCCGGGGAGAGGCGGGCCCCGAGCTCGGAGAAGGAGATATCGGGAAATCCCGCCCCACACCCCTGTCGGAACCCTAGGCTTGGGATGCACTCCCAGCCTTTGGCCAAGAAAAGACACTCGAGGGTTGAGGATTAAGGACTCCTCTCGCCTCAACCCCTAAGTTCCGGCGAGGGTCCACCCTGCGCCCCCCGCCGGGCCCGCCTCCCCCCCCCCCCCACTCCCGGCCCCCGGTCCCCGGCCCGCGCGCCACTGCCCCTTTAAGAAGCCCAGGTAGGCCGGCCCGGCTGCGGGAGCCGCTCCTATGGCAACCCGCGAGCTGCGGCGGCTTCATGAATATTCCGGGGCGCGGGAGCCGGGCGCTGCCGGAGGGCGCTCCGGGGGAGGCGGCCGCTGATGTAAGCCCGGCGGGCCGCTGGGCTCCGCTCGGCTGCAGCGGGAGCCCCGGGACGGGCCGGCCGGGCTCGGCCAGAGGAAGCAAGGCGAGCTCGCGAGTGACTGGCCACAAAGCCCGGGCGGCGGGACAGACGGACAGCCCGCCTGCCCGCGGGACATACGCCCCAGAGGAGTGCTGGTCGTGCGCTCTGCGCTCCGGAGCGGTTTTCCGAGCGCCGCGGCCGCAGCGCTGCTTCAACCCGCGCCCATTGTTCCCCGCGGGGGCGGGGCGCCTGGAGCCGGGCCGCGCGCCGCGCCCCTGACCGCGGGAGGGAGGGAGGGAGCGAGAGAGAGCGGGGTCCCCGCGCCCAGCCCGGCCCGGGAGGAGGCGCAGCGCGGCGAGCCCCGGGACCCGGAGCCGGACTGGGAGCCTCCCAGCCGCACGCAACCTGCCCAGCATGGGCGCCTGAGGCGGCTCGGCGCCGGCGGCGAAGGACACGTCCCCGCGGGCTGACTGACCGGCGGGCGGACCTGCAGCGGGTCCGCGGCGCGGCACCCGCGCCCCTGCCCCCGGCCCCTGGAGCCATGGACAAGCTGCCGCCGTCCATGCGCAAGAGACTCTACAGCCTTCCGCAGCAGGTGGGGGCCAAGGCGTGGATCATGGACGAAGAAGAGGACGCCGAGGAAGAGGGGGCTGGGGGCCGCCAGGACCCCAGCCGCAGGAGCATCCGGCTGCGGCCGCTGCCTTCGCCCTCGCCCTCGGCGGCCGCGGGCGGCACGGAGCCCCGGGGTGCGGCCCTCGGGGCGGCAGACAGCGAGGGGTCGACCCGCGGCGCGGGCAAGTCTAGCACTAACGGCGACTGCAGGCGCTTCCGCGGGAGCCTGGCATCGCTGGGCAGCCGGGGCGGCGGCGGCGCCGGAGCGGGGGGCGGCAGCAGTCACGGGCACCTGCATGACTCCGCGGAGGAGCGGCGACTCATCGCCGAGGGCGACGCGTCCCCCGGTGAGGACAGGACGCCCCCGGGCCTGGCGGCCGAGACCGAGCGCTCTGGCGCCTCGGCACAGCCCGGAGCCTCGCCGCCGCCGCCCCAGCAGCCGCCGCAGCCGGTCCCCGCCTCCTGCGAGCAGCCCTCGGTGGACACCGCGATCAAAGTGGAGGGAGGTGCGGCCGCCGGCGACCAGATCCTCCCTGAGGCCGAGGTGCGCCTGGGCCAGGCCGGCTTCATGCAGCGCCAGTTCGGGGCCATGCTCCAGCCCGGGGTCAACAAATTCTCCCTGAGGATGTTCGGCAGCCAGAAGGCGGTGGAGCGCGAGCAGGAGAGGGTTAAGTCGGCCGGGTTTTGGATTATCCACCCCTACAGCGACTTCAGGTAAGGGGGCCTGGCGATGATCCTGTGGGTTGCCTGAGCGGTTGCAGGCATGCTTCCTCTCTCTCGTCCCTGCCTCTCAGCTGGAGTTAACTTTCCTTCCTCGCGCTGGGAGCTTGGGGCGCCTCTCGGCTCTGAGACACCCCCAGACTTCCTCTTGTACCGCTCTGAGAACTTTCCTCTGTGTTCAGGCCTCCCAACCTCGTTCTGTCCGGGGCTGGGCCGCATTAGAGGCAAGCTGAAAAGGTGTTCTGAGCCTGGCCTAGCCCTGCCCGCAGCCAAGATGAGGCTTTACCACCTTAAGCCCCACATTCCACCTCCCTCTTCTGGGCTGCAGAGTCAGGGTGGACATTCTAAAGGCTGCTCCAGGTCTTTAAGCCTGCAGAGCAGGGCGCTGAAGAGAAACAGACCTTTCGGCAGCTGGGTCAGCTCCTTGGGCGCTGACCCCAGGCGTTAATATCTGCCTTCTGGTGTCCTGGGAAGCTGCAGCTGGGGAGGGAGAGCTGAGCTCCTGGAGGATTGAAGTCCAGGATAAAAGCCTTCTGCACCCACCTTAACCCTGGGCACAGCCCCTCAGGCCAAGTGGTGGGCCAGGAGCAGGCACCCTGGTCAGCTGGCATCTAGACTAGCAGGAGAGCATGACCTTGCTTGTAGTGGTCAGTGAAGATGCCTGGTGTCCTGACTGATGAGCAGTCGCCCTGTGACCCTAAGCCCGTCCTGTGCCCCATCCTTACCCCAGCAGCCCAAGCTCCAGCAGCTGCTAGGTCTTTCATGGGTCAGTGGTGGGTCCCCAAACAAATGGTGTGACTACCAGTCAGGGAGAGGGACCCCACCCCCTCCTCATCACCTGAGTCAGATGCCACTGAAGAGCAGATACTACTCGGGGCCTGTGGGCGTATCTGTGCAAAAAGAGATATTGGTGATTGCCTCTGAAGTTGGGATCAGGGATGCCTCTACCCTAATCAAGATCTTGGGGTCCCTCAGTGCCTCTCTGGGCTTTCCTGATACACAGGATCGAAGTGAGGGTCTGAAAAATGTTTACACTTTTGAGCTGGGTTTGATTGATCCTCTCTCTCCCTCTGAGCCCTGCCCCCTATTTAGCTCTCTTCCCTGCCTACCCTGCTTACCTGCCAATATAAATGAGCATTTTGCCAACCCAGAGCCCTCTTTGCAAACTTCAGGGAAGCTAGGTTTGTAATGAGAGCATAGCCGTTTTCCATCCAATGAGAGAGATTTCTGGTGCTGGGAATGACCAGTCAGGCAACACTCAAGGGCTTAAAATAGGTGGTGAACAGAGGGCCCCTACCTTTTCCTTTTTTGACAGATTGCTCTGCCTAACCCTAATATCCAGGGTTCCCATTCCCAGAGGGCATAGGGGGGGCCAGAGGACAGACTAAACAGACAGCCACAGTCCTAAAGTTGTGTGAGCCGATGTGAGACCCTCTCATGAGGAACTGTGGCTGGTTCCTGTTGCCAAGTTCCGAAAGTGTGACCTCCCCTCTGGTCAGTACTAGGACCTGAGGATCCCAGCCTGAGCTAGGGAGGAGTGGGCAGGTGCTGTTGTCTCCTGCACCCCCTGGGGGTGCCCTGGGCTCCTCCTCTCTCTGAACTCCCTGGTTGTGATGGCAGGTAGGCCATGTCAATATCAACCTCCCTTCCTTCACTCAGCTCCCCTCTGGCTTTGTTGTCTGAAAGCCTCTGTTCAGGGTTCCCACCACCAACCTCATTGCCTGGGGTGGGAGCCTGCAAGAGGCCAATTCCAGGCATGCCTAGCTTCCGTCGACAACAGGCATTGATCAAGCACCTTCTGGGAACTGGCCCTTGCCCTCCCTGTTGCCCCTTACCCTGGATGGTGAAGGTCTGGGGCCCGGCTGATTGCATCTATGGGAACCTCTCCCGCCTTCCTGATCCTACTCTGCCTATCTTGGCCTGTGTATCTGCAGTCCCCTTGCTGCAGAACCTCCTGCTAACTGCAGGCCACCCGGGACATGGCAGAGGGGAGGGTGATAGGGATAGGGAGGTGTGGCTGCAGCAGGATAGATAAACGGGCAACAGAAAAAGGGTCAGGCTGGGCTTTGAATCTGGGTTTGTGCAACAAGCAACAGGAACTGGTAGCTGGAAGCATACACCTTCTGTGTGCAGCCTGATGCCGGGTGAGATGTAAGAGAAGAAATCCAAGAAAGACTGTCTGTGTGTGGTGTGGAGGGGTTGTGGTCATGCCTCTAGGCCAAAACAGCTGGTCTCATCTTCACAAGGTCAAAGAGGCAAGGACTCGGCCAAGTCTCCTAAGCTTAGAAAACCCACCAACTCAACCCAGCCTCACCTCCCCGCCTCCCCCTCCCCCCAGCCAACCCAGCACCCTAAGGCTCAGTCCCTCAAGTTTCAGCCACTAGCCTTTGGCCTCTACGTGGAGCCAATCCCCACCGTCCAGCTCGGGCTTCGCGAAAGCTTCTGCAAGCATTGCTCAGGCTAGTTGAGGATTTATTCATCATTTTCATGGGCAGGAAGC